CGTTGATGCAGGAAAGAGGGAGGGAAAGTGGCCGCACTTCCTGTTGAGATACTTTTTGTCCTTCAGGCCAGGGAGGGGTGGGGTGTGGTGAACCCTCTCCCCTGTGCTGAAGGCCAGTGCAGTCCTCATGGAGGACAAAAACAGCGAACGGGAGTTCACTTTTGGGAGTCGGTCCTGGAGAGCCCGCAGTGTGATCCAGGAGTGAGACTGGCCAGTGGCCACAATACAGTGGCTGTCTTATCTATTGCCGAGATAAAGCCAAAAGCAACTTGGGGAGGAAAGGGTTAATTTCGGTCCCCATCAAAGGAATCAGGGAAGTAAGTCAGGGCAGGAACTTAGAGGCAGGGGCAGATGCAGAGGACATGGAGGTTCCCTCTTCTAAAATGACTCTAGCTTGTGTCAAGGCGACATAAAACTAGCCAGGACAGGGGCTGGAGAGATGTCTCAGTGGTAAAGAATACTAGGTGGCCTTCCAGAGGTCCGGAGTTCAATTCCCAGCAACCACACGGTAGCTCACAGCCATCTGTAATGAGACCTGGCGCCCTCTTCTGGCCTGCAGGGACACATGCAGGCAGAACACTATACATAAAAACCAAACCAAACCAAACCAAAATAACAACAACAAAAAATTAGCCAGGATAGTGACCAAGAGGAAAAAAGATTCAAAACAAGCACAATGCCCTTCATCGTGTGGTACACATAGTAGGCAAGTCTTAAAATGATATGGTCAAGCCACTTCAGCTGTCCAATATGAATAGCATGTTGCGATGAAAATTAATCATATACGTGTGTATCCTGGTATGTTAGGGCCACAACTTCAGTGTGGGTTGGGGAGGAACAGGCTTGGGTCTCTTTGTGATTCTCTTTCTGGAGGATGGGAGTAGACATTTCAAACTTCACACACAGGGAAATTCTCCCTTTCTGTTAACTCCTGAGCTTTTCTGAAAACTGTCAGGATGTAGACTAGAGTCAATACTCCAGAGAATTCACTTGTGCCTACCATGCATGAGAGGCCCTTCGGCTACCTCTGCTAACGTCTGGTCTGTCTTCTCTGATTTCATTGTCTAATGCAAGGAGCCTGTGGGCGAGGTCGCCGTGCTAGGAGGCTTTCGAGGATGAGAAGACTGGGGGTCTCCATCCGAACGATTCCTCCGCAGGAAACGCCCATTTCTGAGAGTCATGGACGGACACGGAGGAGCACAGGAAACGCGGAAACGCGGGGAAACAGGCCAGAAAGCTAATAACACTCTCAGGAAAGGACTGAGAAGGGAAGGATACGGCTAAAAAGGAACCTAAGTGTGAGCAGAGAAGGTTTTCCTAAAAACACACACACACACACTCACACAATCACACACACAAAATCACACAATACACACACAGGATCACACACACAAACACACACACATACACACAGAATCACACACACACAACCACACACAATCACACACACTCACACACACACACACAAACCACACACACACACAACCACACACAATCACACGCCACAAAGAGGTGGTGCTGTTAGTTTTCTTTCAACTTGACAGAGGCCAGTCAGCTGGGAAGGGGAACCTCAGTTGAGACAATGCCTCCATTAGATTGGCCTATAGGCAGGCCTGTGGGGGCGTGTCCTTGACTGATGAGGGAGGATGCAGTCCGATGAGATGCGGGAGGTACCATCCCAGGGGAGGTGGTCCCAGGAGGTCTAAGAAGGGAACTGATCAGGACTCTGGAAGCCAAGGAGCAGCTTTTCTTCAGGCCCCGGCATCAGCTCCCACCTTCCAGTCCCTGCCCCTCTTGAGCTCCTGCTGTGCCTTCCTTTGATGAAGGACCGTGATCAGGGGGTGTAAGTTCAATAAACCCTTTCCTTTACTTTTGGTCATGATGTTTTAGCACAACGATAAAGAGCAAATTAAAGCACGAAATAATCTCTGTCTCTCAAAAACATTCCCTCGAGGCAGGGTATTGCCAGATTGTAGAGGCCTGCCTCCGTCTCCCAGTAGCTGCAATTACAAGCACATGCCAAATACACAAGGCTCCCAGCAAACTCTTTCTGTGCTTTAGAATTTTTTTTTTCTAAACAAGACACTACCACCTTTTAAAAATAATTCCTACCATGTTTGTGAAAAGCTGTTTCTTCTTGGCCTGTCATTTAGACTTGGAGATGGATTGGTGTCTTGGAGAATGAACAAACTGTCTAACCCTAGGCCGCTTTCCCCTTATAGCAGATCAGCACATTGTGGCTGAGGCCTATGAACAGGCCTACTCTGCCCTGCTGAGAGCACACAGGGCACTGAGTCTGTAACCATGTCCTAGCAGCCTCCCGATGCCCTGCCCTTTGGCAAACTGGGCTCCTGGGTTTATGACAACATTTCCTGTGCCTCCTGCCCTCATCTCACTGCTGAGAGGGTTAATCTATGCTTCACAGGGCACACAGGGTGTGGAAGGGCAGGGCAAGCATCAGCGCTAGGGACACAGCAGCTGGAGACGCTGCCTGCCGTTTACAAGTGTGCACCCACCTGGGACACTCGGCACACTCTCGGTTTTTATTGTCACAGGTGGGGCAGAAGCAGGCTATCTGTGCACTCTGGACGAGTTCTGAACTCCCTGCCACCACAAGGGAGTAAACAGCAAGACTTAATTATCTGTAGGAAACAGATGAGCAAGTTTTATATGAATTAAACTGCTCGCAGCTGCTCCAGCTCGGGTGACTGTAGACTCATACTAATGAATGAAGCCACAAACGGTGGCGTGTGGGGACAGTGTGGGGGCTGTTTCACAGGTGAGGCTCAACCACACAGACCCGAGATTCTGCTCTGGTCTGTCTGAAGCAGCCTGCGGACCCCAAGGAGGGGTTGGGGAGGACGGGTCCAGGCAGCACCCTAGTCTGGGAGACCGGACACTTGTCCATCACATCATACCTTCCTGGAGGTATGTGGGGAATCCCTACTCTGTTCCCTTTTCAGGGACACACAAGCCATTCCCTGTGGCCAGCAGAGGAGCCCAATGCATTCACTTTAGAGATCAGTTGCCATCTCTGTGGGTTAGAAAATGTCAGCATACACAGATTGGCAAGGTAAATCCATTACTTAAGCATGGTCCTCATCAAATGAAGACAGCCTCACCTTTCTGTAAGTCAGATCAATGCACAAAGCACAAGGCTCTCTGCGAGACATCCCGGGCACGATATTTATTTATTTATTTAGGAGACTGGATCTCACTATTTAGGTCAACCTCACTTCCGACTCATAACCCTCCTGCCCCTGCCTATCCTGCACATTTTATAGCGTTGAAGAGGTCATACGGAATTAAGAAGCCAAACGTCATCCCAAAGCTTCTCCTCTTTTAGCTCTAGCTGTGACTCCGAGTTCTACTCATTCACTAGGCCCTGGAGAGACATTTCCAGTCCTGGACCACGGAAGCAGATGGTGGTTGTATCAAACATTCACCTACAAAGCAATTCTCCTTGCTACTGAAACAGCTTTCTGAATTGCTCTACAGCTACAGCTGCCTCAATAACCCGCCAAAAATGTGCAGAGTGGATGGTCAGCAAGGACACGCCCCTCCCCCAAACTCTCTGTTGATGGATGCAGTGGCAAGGAAATCATCGAAAGTTTGTGCCTGAGCCAAGAGTCTCAGGGACCAAGAAAGATACCCCTTCCCCCCGCCTAACTTCTTACGTGGACTCAGAAAACATCAGTTAATCTTTGAACTTTGGTTGATGATGTTTCCCTGAGAGCATTTTTCCTGTGTCTGCATCTGCCTTTCAGGGTTCTAGATTTCTCAAGAGAGTCACCAAGCTTGCCTTGCCTTCTTCTCTGTCCCACAGTGTAGTGGGCTCTCAGTTAAATGCATAAGTGTGTGTGTGTGTGTGAGTGAGTGTGTGTGTGAGTGTGCGTGTGTGTGAGTGTGTGTGAGTGAGTGTGCGTGTGTGTGAGTGTGTGTGAGTGAGTGTGTGTGTGTGAGTGAGTGTGTGTGTGAGAGAGAGAGAGAGACCCAGCAGTTGTATAGTTTTATTTTCCATTAATATCATAAGCCTGAAGCAAGTATTTTCTTTAATTGGGTTGCAGATACTCACTTCAATAGGTTTATTTTGATCTGGAACATCAAAAATAAATCAAAGAGGGATACAAATCACCTATTTTGTCTCCGTTCATCTTAAAGACAATTTCCTTTAAAGGTTATTAAACGGTGTCCCAAACCTAACATCATCTCCCTTAAGAGACGATGGGAAGTAAGGGCTGACCCTCCTGACTCCTGTCACACACAGCGTGATTTCCACGAGAGGACTGGTTAGGGGAAGGGAAGACATTTTTCCTTGAAGGGGATAAGGTCAGAAGAACTTCCACAAGCCAGAAGGAGATTAGCCAGCCCCAGGGAAAACCTGTATGAAAATCAGCACCTACATTGTGGTTTTCCAGGCTGAAAGCATTACCCATTGCATTACCCATTTAGAGCCTGGTATGGGAACACCCTGTAAGGTCAGCTTTCACATTTCCTACTATGTCTACACATACGATGTCTCTGTATTCACACAAAGTCCTGGTATTTGGGTGTCTATCTCCACCACATTCCTGATTCCTTTAAAATACTTATTTTTATTTATGTGTATGGGGATATATATGTTTGTAGCATGTGTGAGTCCAGGCGCCTGGATGTCAGAACCCATGAAGCTGGAGTGTGAGCCACCAGACATGGGTGCTGGGAACCAAACTCCAGTCCTCTTCCCAAGGAGGAGCGAGCTCTTAATCACTGAGCCGCCATCATGCTACCCCCCCCCCCACTACTCCGGTGCTCGTGACTGAACCCCAACCCATCTGTGCAGGCTTCCTATCTCTCAAGCACGCCAGCGGCGCTTGGCGCTAAGAAAATTCGACCCTTTCTTCCATTTCCCTCTGTACTGAGGTCTGTGCCTGTTTTTACAGGGTTTGTGAGCGACACATTCCAGCAAGCATCGTTTGGCCGACCCATCTATTCCCAAAAGCACCTCGGAGGGCTCTTACCAGCTCCCTGGTGGGGCGACTTCTCCTTCCTGGGCTCGGGAGGCAGGATGACCGGTATAAGTCTCTCAGACTCCCCGGGGCTGGCCTCCAGGCCTGCGGGTGGGTAGGGCAGGGTGAGGCTCTGCAGCAGAGGCTTCCTGGGCAGCGGTGGCTTGGTACTAGGCTGCTCGGGAGACCTGGACTTCCCTTTCCCTTGCCCATTGGGGGACCTGGAACTTCGCAGTGCGGGGGCAGCCCCGGCATGGCTCTGTTCATCCTTGGGGAGTACAGCCAGGCCTCCTCGCTCCAACCTGACCTCTGCGCTGTACCTCTTCATGGCTTTGGCCTCCTGGGCAGGGCCGTCTCTGTATTTGAGCGACAGCGAGGTGGACCGCAGCTTGACCGGGAAGGGGCTCTGGTCCCCCGCAGGGGGACAGGGATCAGCATCCTGGGGGCTCCTGCCCGGTCCTGCCTGGCCAGCCCCCGTGTCCCCTGAGTCTTGAGGGTCGCCACCCACCGCCTTCCTGCCTTGGGGCGCTGGCAGCACCTGGAGGTCATCAAGGGCTGCCTCACTCTTCCAGGCAAGGCCACTGCGTAGCAAGGGTGCTCGTCCCCCTGCAGGCACAGGCCCGGCTTGTTCCAGAAGGCGAGAGCTGCTGGCGCGGGCACGCGCTCTGCTCGAGGTCACGGAGAACCTCTTAACGCCGCGCTGAGGCTCAGTACTCCGCTCGCCCTTCCTCCCCAGGGCTGGCTTCTCAGCAGCCCCTGATGTCACAGCCTGTTCAGGCCTGGCACGGGCGGGGGGCACAACGGTTCTGACCTGGACTCCGGGGCTGGGCTCTTTCAGAGGAGGCTCGCCTGGGGACCCACCCGAGGCCAAGGTCTTGTGCTTCAGGCAGCTCTTGGGTATTGGAGGGCTCGGGGAAGGAGCTGTAGAGGACTCTGTCCCTGCTCCCTCAGGCCTGGGTACCACCAGGGTTAGCTCCTCCTCCTTCTGGACACTTTGGTCCTGTCTCTCTGTATCTGAAGGTGTCCCCAAGTTGCTGTCAGTGACAGCCTCTCCCTTTGGAAATATTGTGTCCCTATTGGGAGGTTCCATGATCCCTTTAGTGGGCGCTTTGTCTCCCTTGGAAGGTGACATGCCTTTCTCTGGAGGTTCCATGTCTACCTCTGGAGGTGCCATGTCTCTCTCTGGAGGTGTGGTGATACCCTTGGGAGGTCCCTTGGAAGGTGCCAGGTCTCTCTCTGGAGGTTCCATGTCTACCTCTGGAGGTGCTATGTCTCTCTCTGGAGGTGCCGTGGTACTCTTGGGAGGCGCAATGTCTCCCTTGGAAGGTGCCAGGTCTCTCTCTGGAGATTCCATGTCTACCTCTGGAGGTGCTATGTCTCTCTCTGGAGGTGTGGTGATACCCTTGGGAGGTCCCTTGGAAGGTGCCAGGTCTCTCTCTGGAGGTGCCACGGTACTCTTGGGAGGCTCAATGCCTCCCTTGGGAGGTGCCAGGTCTCTCTCGGGAGGTGCCATGGCCTCCTTGAGAAGTGTATCTCCTTCTGGAGGCGTTATGCCGTCTTTGGAAGGTACAGTCTCCCTGTCATGAAGTGGGTCTCCCTCATGAAGCATGGAGCCCTCCTTGGAAGGTGCCATGCCTCCCTCAGGAACTTCGGATAGTGCAGTTCCCACATCCCCAGAACCACACACAACCTCCTCAGGTGTCCCCTCCACTAGGGGACACGGGCCTCCAGAGGACAGCTCTTCCTTCTGGATTTCACCATGGGGAATACGGGGCGGAGAACCTTCTGGCAAAGTTGGGGTGTCCATCTCTGAGGCTGCCATTGGCTCAGCGACCTCTGGCATTGCCGGGTGGCTTGAGGGTTCATCTCCAGGACAGCCTTCCTCTTCCATGCTGGCACTGACGGCCGCGCTGTGCTGTAGGCGTGCACGCCTGGCACAGGCCCCTCCGGGTAGCAGCAAGGCTGCAGGTCCCCCAAGCTCAGGCCTTCTGCCCAGCATCAAATCCCGCTGCTCAGCACAGGGGTTCTCGTCTATGCTGAACTGGAATAACCGTTTCCCTTCGTATTCGTCCTCCTCCAGGGTCCAAGACAGATCACTCAGGGACTCAGACTGTGCCCTCTAGGAGAAACAGAGAGACGTCAGCACAGCGGCAAATATTAGACAGCCTATCATGCTTTTCCTTCCTCTACGACTAAACATGGTTTAGGAAACACAGTAGCTCTCAAAGGCGGATGCTGAAGCAGATGTCCTCACACAGGTATCTTCAGCTGCCCTTATGAGTTCACAAGGAGCCTGGTTCATAAACTCAGAGGACCCATGGCAGCCAGGCCCTCAACGTAAATGCAATGTGTGCAGCCAGATACGTTATCACACACCTTTAATCCCAGCACTAGGGAGTCAGAGACCGCCAGATCTCCATGAGTTTGAAGTCAGGTTGTCTGGTCTATATTATTGAGTTCTGGGCCAGCTAGATCTATACAATGAGACCCTTTCTTGGGGGGTGGGGGAGGACCTAGTTCATATGTCTAAGCCACAAAACAAATGGTACCTGCCCACCTAGAGCCAAATAGAGGGACTAGGACCAAGACAGAGCAACTATCTGTCCTGCTTTGTGTCCTTTGTTAATTTCGTTTCACTCTAGGCTTACCCGAACGAGGACTAGACTCCCATTGTCTTTTTGTACTTGGAGAGCCAAGGGTCCAAAGGCTTGGAAACTTTGGTCAGTACACTGAACTAGCTGGCTGATAATAGGAATCCCAGGCTGAAAGTCCCTCATTGAGAAACCAGATAGTTTCCTTTGAAAAGTTATTTGTATCAGGTCAAACATGGCGAACTGCAAACCACAGGATCAAACCCAAAAATTCCAGTCTTAAGTTCTCTGGTCTACACTCACGTTGAGCCAAGGTTCCTACCACTGTGCCGGATGCTGCCTCCTGGGACAGTGTACCGGGACCATGTACCCCCATTGTACGAGCACAGGCGGACTCCCCAGTCTTTAAGTCCTGTAGCTACCTTGCCTACGCTAACGATGCCTCCTTCTCTGGCTCTCTAATGCCCCTGGTGCCCTCCTACACTGCCTTGTGGCATTTTTTCCTTCTGAAAGGTGTCTGGGATTCAGACGCTGGCTGGTGTCCCCTCATTTTCTCACACTCAGGCCCCCTCTCAGGAGGAAAATGAAAATCAAGGTAGACACAGGTCACACGAAAGCGATGTGTGAAAATAATTCAAAGGTTCATGACATCCGCCCTCGGGAATCGTTCAGGTGGCTGTATTAAACAGTGCTGTCTTGTTTTCTAAGGTAGGAAACGTGATCCTGGGTTTGATAGAGTTTGTTCTTGTTGCTGATATTTTTATCTTTGTGATGCTGGGGGTCAAATCCAGGGCCTTGGGCAGAGAGTCAAGTGCTCCAACCCCAAACTACACCCACAACAGTCATCATCATCATCATCATCAACATTTTCCAGCTGGCATCTGCTTGCTAAAGATCACGAAAGGTCTGGGATTTCTGTAACCATACCTAAGCTAAGTTTTGCCAAGATGCACAGTTCTCTTCTTTTGGATTTCAAAAGAAGTTGAAGGAAGAAATCTATACAAGATTCTTGCCAAAAGCTGAGGTTCTTCACTTCACTCTGGCATTTTTGCCACTGTAGGAAACTATTGATATGGAGAGCTCAGTAGGACATGGGTCACGATTTGAAACCATCAATCACAGAACCCAGATCAATTCAGTGGAGAGCCGGGGACCCAGTCTGGCTAGAGTACCTTCCGGCTCGTCTACTGGCAGCTAGAGGAGGTGACTAAGGGGTGGGGGGCATTACAGGACGAAGGCTAGCGTGGGGGTACACTCTCTGGAGGGGGAATCTGATGCTGAGTAGAGCTCAAATGCTGGAAAAGCAGCTCCCGCGTAGCCAGGACCTCTGGCTAGCTGCATCAGGCAGGAACTCAATCCCCCATCACTGCCAGGGTACACCGTGCCTACCCCATCCCGGCAATTTTCACGGCATTTCCTCCTCTGGCTGCACGGTGGTTCGACACTCTGGAAACACCCAGAAAAAACAGAAATGCCCAGCCTGTACCAAGATGGAGAGATTCTCATTGTGGTTGTTTTACAAAGGCAAGTGTTGGGAGGGGGCAGCAGCCTGTGTTTACAAAGCACCTCCCACATGCCAAACAGGAAACTCACTCTCTCCAGGAAGTTCCTGAAACCCGGTCAGGCCCGCTGTTTGTCTCCAGCTGATATGCCTAGCTTGCTGTGAAATCTCCACTAACTGCAATTGCGGCTTGAGGTAAGGGCAGGGAAGATGTTATTCTGTAAGTCCTTCTCAGGGTGGGTCATTCTCCTTGGCCATGCTTACCCTCTGCCCTCGCCCTTCACCTCCTCTAGAGCTGAGGTGTCTAGTCAAGTTAAGAGAGAGGAGTTCAGGAATGGAGAGTGTCAGGTTTGGCCCATGACACAGTGGACTCTTGGTGTTTGTAGAATGAACAAATGCATGTAAGTATTAATGTCTGAATGGGGTGTTTATGCAAAAGAGATACGCCCAGTCCAAGGCGCAAAAGGTGAGCAGGCCTAGCATCCACAGTGTGGCTTTGATCCACCGTGGAGGGGCTCAGAGGTGCTACGAGGCTAGGCAGTGGGTGGAAATGCCAGACCTGCCCGTCCCATCCCTACCCAGAGGGGGGAGGCTGATTACCGAAGACAGGCGCCTCATTTTACTGGACCGCTGGTTGCGGGGCTTAACCAGGAGCTTGTGTTTCGCTGCAGAATTGTCCAGGCAGGAGGAGAATTCCGGAGGGCGGTTGAAGTCAGCCACAGGTGCCAGGCTGCCATCCAAAGTCCCAGAGGAGACAGTGACATCGCTCACGTGGTCAGGAGACTGTGGCCGCGACGAGGACACCAAGATCTTCACGGTACAAAGAACAAACACACCAAGCATTAATTCAGCGACTAAGGGTGGAGGCTGCTGTCCTACGAACGCCCCTCTGGTGCGCTTCTGTGATGTCTTTGCAAGGTACCTGGGAAAGAATATTTTCAATTGGCTCTTGACAGAGAATGTTTTGGAATATCCCTTTAGAGCAAATGGCTGGGAGTCCAAAGGGTGGGGGCCAACCCTAAGGACACGTGAACAGGGTTCTTTAACAGGAAAACGTAGCTACGTCCACCCACAAAACAGACTGGCCCAGCGTCTCCAGAGGGGGAGGGACCCGCTCATTCCACCCAGCTGGGATATGGCCCAGAGGTGAGATCTCTGGGCGCAGGCCACAGAAAGCAATGAGCTTGGTGATGGTGGTGCCTTCTTTGTTCATTCTAAAGGGTCTCTGCAGCCTCTCAGGCAGCCTGGCTTCCGGGTACCATATGGTGAGCTACAGACACGTTACCTCAGTGGGGAGGAACTAAAGGTCAGCAATGAGCAAATGCATTGCTGGGGGGGGGAACGCCTCTGGGGGGGAACGCCTCTGGGGGGGAACGCCTCTGGGGGGAACGCCTCTGGGGGGGAACGCCTCTGGGGGGGAACGCCTCTGGGGGGGGAACGCCTCTGGCAGCCATGTGTAGGAATGAGAGAGACACCCTAAGACACCGGCCCCACCTGGTACAGCAAGCTACTTTCTGGAGTGCTGGATGTCCTGTAAGGGTGTGTTCCATGACAAAGCAATGCCTCAGTGCGTGTAGCCCGGATGAGGAGCAAGACACAGAGAGAATCTGGGATGTGCTGGGCTTTGAGAACAACCCTGCCACCTTTAAACAAGCAAGCAAACACGAAAACAAAACAAAAACCTGCCCGTTTCTATAGGCACACTGGACTAACTATTACACATATTTTGTTTGTTTGTTGGGATAAGGTCTCTTGATGTAGCCCTGGCTGTATTGGAACTCAGTACATAGACCAGGATGGAGATCTGCCTGATTCTGCCTCTCAAGTGCTGGGATTGAAGCCGTGCATCACCACACCTTTGACAACAGTAGATTGGATACACTATCTAACAACTGATGAACACCGCAGACTTCATTTTAATAACTAGAGGAATAAAAGATTAGGTACGCGCTGCCCCAGCACCGGCGGCCCCCATTTGGCTAATTTAAAGACTGTGCATGGCAGTGGCGGTCAGGTTTGGAGTTGAGCTCCATCTTCAATCAATGAAGCTGCTCCTCCTGCCTGATCCAGCCGATTGCAGACAAAACCAGCAGCCTTGAGAGCCAGAGGCTCAAGGGATACAGAGTAAGGTGACAGGACAGACCGCCTTCTCATCATCTAACCCTTCCTGAAGTTGGAGAGCAGGTGTAGGTAGCCTACTCTACAGCAGCAGGGATATGCTCACCCTCAAGCCACACTCTGGGAGTAATTCTCTGAGCAACTCCGCGGGAGTTCCCAACCCTACAGCTGACTTAAAATCAGCCCCATCACAGTCCTGACTTTTCATTAGTAATATTCCGGGAGCTCACAACTACAAAAACTAACTAGTATGTGTGCGGGGTAGGGGAATGTCTCTGTGCCAAAGTCGAGTTTCCTCGTAAGCAATGCCCTGGCCAGGCCAGGCCAGAATGTGATCCCAGTAAGCTGCACAGCTATCAAACATCAACTCTGTCCTTTATTTGTTTTTCGAGTGTCAGTATAATTTGGATCATTCCAATTCCATCTTCCCTCAGCAAGAAGGCTTATTAATGTGGAGGAAATGGCCATCTGTTTTGTCATTGATGTGTGACTATGTTACATGAACATTGATATTCGTATTATAAGCCATGGCATCACGAGCGTGCTGGAGTCTACGGGGAGGACAGCATTTGGGATTACTTCTCCAGTGACTGAGATCAGTCACTGCTGGACAATCTTCATGGGTTGCCTTGTTCCCCAGAGGGCCCCATGTGACTTGCCCAAACCTACAGGTTCCTTTGGCTGTGACTAGGGCATAGAGCTGAACGCTGTTAAGTGTTCACTGTGCGCTCTGTCCTCTGGCCCGTGCCGTGGCAGCAGGGAGACACAGAGGTAGCTAGCTCCTTCTCCAGTGGCATTCTGGGTCTGGGCATCTGCTCAGACAAGACACAGAGCAGACGGCATCACCGTGACCACACAACCACACAAACCGATGGCACGTGGCCTCCCTCATCCGCGGGGAGACATGGAGGGCCTCCAGAGTTCTAGCCACGCTGGCTGGCAGGTGGAGGTGGAAAGGTTTGAGGGCGGACAAGTTCACTTGCCTTTATAGTCATGGCTGGCCCCGCGTCATGCAGCAGGGACATCTCTGGGGGGCTCCGGGGAAGGCCGTCATCCTCAGAGCTCATACCGGTTTCCTCCGCCCTCCTGGTAGGAATGCCTCCCGGAGGCGGCGGGCCCATTTTCACATTGCATTGTATCTTCAACTGTACAGAAGGAACGGCAGTTATTCTTAGTATTCTCATCCAGAACACGGGGCGACAAGTCTGCCCGCTCTGACTCATCCATCCAGGAAATGACTCCGGCGCTCCTGTATGGTGTAGAGCACTGACCCAAGGGGTGCTTGTCCCCAGCTCCCTCACCGCTGACAGCCACCAGCAGCGCCTAACGTGCCTGCCTGCAGAGAACCGTACTGCACTGCTACTGAAATTACTTAGAAACTTCCGGATTAACCCTGGACAGACACCCAAGTGACAGGGCCAAGCAAACACTCACCTGCAGGGCCTTGATCCGGTCACACACATTTTCTTGGGAAAACACCCGCACAGGCCGAGCAGGGTCCTGTCCCGATTCAGGAAAGAAAATACTGTCGTGTGAGAGGGCACGATTGCCCAAGGTGCTCCTGGACTCCCTAGGGGAAGAAGAGTCCCCGTGAGCTTTTGTCCACCTCCATGTGTCCCCGATCCTAGGGACTTAGAGCAAGAGTGACAAATCCTCCCATAAGCCCTCTGTTGTGCATGGTTAGCAGCTGCCCATCTGTCCCTGTCACTGTCAAACACAAGTCAGAACATTCTACACAGGGCATTTTCCTAAGACAGTTGAAGGTTGTAGGGAGACTTTATTTATTTATTTTTGATTAGTGGAAAAAACAAGGTTTGATGTGGTGTGATGTCCAAGACAGCAAGCCTTCAAAAGGGAAGGTTGGTGCCGGCTGCGTTCTGTGGGAATCCGTCTCAGATGTCCTGGGAGGGTGAGGTCATGGACGGGGGCTAAGGAAATGTGTGGCCCCTCCGTACTCTGGAGACTGCTGGCACAGTCGTCCCCCACGACGGTCCAGATCACACATCTGTGGCCCGCTTGCAAGAAGAGCTGCAAGTCTGCAGAGATGGGCCCTGGCTTATGATCGGGCACGGAAGCCAGGCTCCGAGCCACGGACCTAATTTGGAACTGCAATCACAGGACGCTTGTAAAACTCTCTCAGAGGATGTAGGAATTCACTGTCAGACTTCCCTGGCCTCCTAAATAATAGGTGGAAGGAGATGACCAAGACCATCGGTTAAGGAAGGGAAGCTGCCTTGGCGTGCACGAGATATCTCGTGCACACCAGCCCCACCCTGTCCCCCTTGGTGTCCTGTCCTCCATGGGGCACTGGGGACTCTGAGGTGTGGCCCGTTCCGCTGCACATCCAACTGTGTTAGTAGTTCTGTGTGTGCGGGCCTACACATTCACACAGCAGTGCTCTTCCATCGAGCACCTCAGCTCAAAGGTGTTTCCTGTCCAGGCTGCAATAGCAAGCTTGCAAGTGGAAATCCAGAGTGTCTGGACGGTGTAGCTTCAGTGTAACCCAGAAAGCATACACTAACAGCAACTCTCAATGCAAAGGCCACACACACACACACACACACACACACACACACACACAAACACACACACCTAGATTTACTCCCTCTAGTCAGCAGCCTGGGGCCACATCCTAGAAACCACAACTACTGGCCAAACACCTCCAGCCCAGACGTAACTAGTCGAGGGCAGCAGGAAGGGGCAGAGGCCTCTGATACAGAACGAAAGCCGCAAATGGCCGAAGGCACACGGTCCTTCATCGCAGTATCTACACAAAGGGAAACAGCATAGGTGCCAAATCAAATGACCTTGGGTGTCTGATGCAGGGCTAGGCAGGTGACGGAGGGCTGAGGGCTTCCCAGAGGACACTAAGTGAAATCAGAGCACACTGGACAGAGAGTGCACGTCAGCGGTGCTTGAGCGGAGAGTGGGCATGTGTTGGGCATGTACACGTGCCTGCTAATAATTAAAAAACAAAAAACTGGTACAGGAAGACCCACCGGAGTGGAGAGCCAGGTGGGGAAACAGAGTCAAAGGGAACCCAGGTAACAACGTTTGCAGGTCTGTCTTTGGGACTATTTAATGTGTTACACAACAAGGCACAAAATCAATCAGAAAGGGAAGTCTCTAAGACTAGGAAAACAAAAACAAAAGAAGCCTAATTTTATGGCAGACATGTTGGCACAGGCTTGTAATCCCAGCCCTGGGGAGGCAGAGGCAGGAGGATCGTCGAGGAAGGGACAGAGAAGTTATTCCTCTGTAGGAGGAAAACAGTCAACCTGTTAAAGTTCAGGCTTTTCAGTATAACAGAAAACAGTACAAAGAAGAAATAAAAAGTTTCACCTTCCCTGGAATTGGAGGTGTCAGTGAGTGACTTACTCAGACTTCTCTTAAAAATAAAACCATTTCCCCGCGAGAAGTCTAGAAGGGTCGGTAGCCAGGGCACGGCCATGCCCACTGAGTCGTGACCACACTGTGGTTCGGGACGACTTTACATTAAAAGGAGGGAAGCATGGCTTGTGAAAAGGGGAACTATCCAGCATTAGCCTGGAATTCCTCACCGCTTAGGAAGAAGCAAAGAGCTCATGGGAAGTGACCCTTGATAGCCCGCCCGGAGTGAGACAATGAAAGACTGCTGTGGATCAGAGCCAAGCGGATCCGCTCCAGATCAGTGTGTTTGGATTTGACACGTGGCTCCGATGGTAGAGCGCTTGCCTAGCATGCACAAGACTCTGGGTTCAACCTGCAGCAGCACGCGGGAAATGCGTATGCTGTGTTACTCCTATAATCCCGGCGCTCTGAACGTGGAGGGAAGACAAAAGGTTCAGGGCTGCCCAGTGTGGGTTACATGAAGTTCTGTCTAAATAAAATAAATAATTAAAAAAAAAAAAACAACCAACCCACTGTGTTCACAATGATCCTTTAGTGGGGAAAATCTAGTTTTCCAGTCACTATTAAAAGGTGTGAAGGTATCAGATATTACTCTGGGAGTGGGGGAACCTCATCCTGTTTTTCCTGAATAGACTGTATTTCAGGCTATCATGAAGTTGATGGAGGAAAGTTAACTTTTTTTTTTTTTAATTTTAGGTTTATTTAATGTATACATATGTGAGGTTTTGCCTACACATATGGGTGCCTGGTGCCCTCGGAGGTCAGAAAAAGACATCAGATCTCCTGGAACTGAAGGTACAGGTGGCTGTGCGCCATCATGTAGGGGCTGGGAACGGAACCCATGTCCTCTGCAAGAGTAGCAAGTACCCAACCTCTGAGCCATCTCTCCTGCCCCTGCTGTAGGACGGTTCTTCATAGAAGGAACTCAGCTATGTAAAATGAATGAAGGAATAGAGTTGCCACCGCGGGCCAGGCACAGGTTGAGAACATCAGGTAAACGCCGGAGTAGTGTTGACACGGACCACCCAGGACCCAGTGCTTGTTTGCAGCATCAACAGACCCGAGAGACCCAGAAACGAAGGGCCTCCTGATGCGTCAGGGGCAGCTCAAGCTCAGCAAGCCGCTAGAGCGCTGGTTCTCAGCCTTCCTAACGCTGTGACCCTTTAATAAGTTCCTCCTGTTGTGGTGGCCGCCCCAACCGGAAAACTATTTCTTGTTGCTGCTTCATAACTGTATTTTTTGCTACTGCCGTGAGTCATGACGTAAGCATCTCATATGCAGGGTATCTGGTGTGAGAATCTGAGGGGCCTCCACCCACAGGCTGAGAACTGCTGCTCCGGCTCGACATGAACTTCTGCAGAATTGGGAGAACTCAAGTGTGACGAGAGCAGATGCAGAGAACAGCGTGTTCTGTAGGCAAACGGACCCAGAGGGGCTGTCACCGATGAAGCCAGACCAAGACACCGCAGCACAAGAGTTGGGCTGTCTGTGTCCTTATGGAAGTTGCTGCAGAGGCTGTGGGCCAGATTCTCAGAGACTAAGAAAGGGTTTCTTCCTCGGTGCTGACCCTGAAAAACGTCATTGTTCCTTCCAGGACCTCACTGCACCCCTCTCTAACCACCTTTACCTCTCCTTTCCCTCCCTCCCTCCCTCCCTCCCTCCCCCCCTCTCTCTCTCTGTGTGTGTGTGTGTGTGTGTGTGTGTGTGTGTGTGTGTGTATACAGGTAAGTCCCCATGGAGGTCAGAGGGGTTGAATCCTCCTGGAGATTGAATCTACCTGCTGAGAACCCACCTCAGATGGGTCCTCTGTGTAAGTAGTGTGCAGTCTTAACCGCTGAGCTATCGTCCACTAGCAACCCGCCATCTTTCCGTTCTTAGCAGCGAATGTCAGCCATGCTCACACCAGGTGCTAGTCACAGACAGATGTCAAGGGCCCTGCCCCTGCTTTCCCTGGATTCCTATGAGAAGGAGAAGTTCCCCGGAGCCCGGCTCTCCAGCTGTATTCCTGTTTGTGGCTGGAGGGCTCGCTCCCAGGCTTGTTTCTGAACAACGGGAGGTGGGGTGGGCATTAGAGGTCTCCTGGGGCTAGCCAGGACGGCTTCTCATGCACCCCACAATTGTGCAAAGGCATACAAGGTACCCATATGTCCATTCTGCGTTTAACTAGCTCTGGGAGGAGGGAGAGGGAGGAAAAAAAAAAAAAATCAAACTGATTTTCCATTTCAGTCATCTAGCGCCACCAAGTGGCCAATGTAATTTCTCCACTTCTAGAGAAGGGCTGTTCTGTCCGGGACACTACCAGTCTACCAATGAGAGTCAATGTTTAAGAGACATTACAAGCTGCCTCCTCTTCTCTTCAGTGGGAGGAACGGGGATAGACAGCATGACTACACTGTGAAACACAAGTTAGAAAATCAAAGTTTTGTCCAGAAGAGCTGCCTGAGTGTTCCCACTATATCTGAACTGTGTCCAGACAACAAGAAGCCGTTTCTTCTGCATCCGCGGGCCTTGTTCTGTTCTATCAGTTATTCGATCAGCCAGCGTTTAAGTTCAGAGAGATGAGTGCTCCCTGTATTGTGTTCCAGATCCCTGAGCATTCTTGGTGAAATTAAGCCAGAGCCGGCATCCACCCCTGCCCCTTCTGCTAAGCAGGCTTGCAGGTGGCTTATGGTTTATTTTGTTCATTTCTGTGATGGTTCATAGCATCATCTCACACAGCTACTGTGCACTTAACAAGCATCCGCCCCCCTCCGGTATGTGTGTGTGTGTGTGTGTGTGTGTGTGTGTGTGCGTGCGCGCACGTGCACTTGTATTGTGAGTAGCTTGGTATACACATTTCACAGTGTCGAGGTGCATGTCAGAGAACAACCTCAGGAGGCAGCCTTTGCCTCCCAACTTGTTTGAGACAGGCTGTTGTTCATCACTGCCCCAAGGCAGCTTACCCACAAGCTTTTGCCCTGTCTCTGTCTCCCATCTTGCTATAGGAGCTCTGGAATTACAGACCTACACGTGCACATGTATTTTATGTATATGAGTGATTTGCGTGCATACACATGTGTGCCACGTGCACATGCCTAGCACCCTTAGAGGCATCGGACAGCTCGGAATTGGAGTTAGGGATGGTTATGAGCCATAACGTGGGTGCTGAGAACCAAACCCCAGTCCTCCGCAAGGCAACACATGCTCTTAACCACAGAACCACCTCTCCGGCCCCAATTACCGCGGACTTTTAAACACTCATGGCACCCAGTGGCAACTACACAACCCTGTTTCCCCCACCCTCCTCCATCCTGTCTTTGCAAAGTTAATAGACGCGCTGTGGACTGAGGAGCTCCTACGGGGGTGACCCAGGATGGGAGGAGGCTCAGGAACCTGACAGGTTGCCAGGCACTGAAGTAAGAATGCTGGCTGGGCATCTCCTGTGCCCAGTGTCCCCCTCCTCCTTGATGCTCGCTCACAGGCCGGCAGCACGGGACAGCAACTTACTCCAGCTCATCTTCAGAGTCATAGCCCACCGGCCCCGACTCGACTGCAATGACCTCGCTCTTGGCCTGACTCTGCTTCCAGACGCTGCTTCCCGTGGACGAGGGCGACTCCTTTCTCTTCTTCTTCCCAAACAACTTCTTAAACGTTTTGAATTTGGATTTCTTCTTTCCTACACAGATGAAAAGAAAAAGGTTAGCAGAAATGTAGAGTGCAGATGTGTGAGTAGAATGCAAGGACTCGTCACACTACAGACAGAAGCAATGACCTACAAGGTCTGACCCCCAAACAAATACTGGTTTCTGTCTTTGAAAAAAATTAAAATTTTGGGCTTCCCTTGGTTGGGGGCTGTCCCGCACCTAAGGCAGGAAGATGGTGACCGTGAAGAAGACGAGAACGTCCCTCGAGTCCATCAACTCTAGGCTCCAGCTTGTTATGAAAAGTGGGAAGTACGTGCTGGGATACAAACAGACTCTCAAGATGATCAGACAGGGCAAAGCGAAGTTGGTTATCCTCGCCAACAACTGCCCGGCTTTGAGGAAATCTGAAACAGAATACTATGCCATGTTGGCTAAAACCGGTGTCCATCACTACAGTGGCAATGCCACTGAACTGGGCAAAGCGTGTGGAAAATACCTCAGAGTACCCACACTGGCTATCATTGACCCAGGCGACTCTGATATTATTAGAAGCGTGCCAGAACAGACTGGCAAGAAGTTAGTAAACCAGAAAAGCCAAAATTGAAATTGCTTGGATGTGTGTCTCTGCGTGCACAGGGTAAAGAGAGGCCAAGAGGGCATCAGATCTCCCGGGACTGGAGTTACAGACGTTTGTGAGCTGCCATGTGGATGCTGGGATTTGAACCTGGGTCCTCTGGAAGAGCAGCAAGTGTGTGCGCTTAACCTCTGAGCCGTCTCTCCAACCCCCTTGTTTATTTTTAGGATATGAGTAAATGAGCCAAGAACACCGGAGCGTGATCAATGAGTCACAACCCGAGCGAGCTTCCTCTCACCTGATAACCATGTTCTTTAAGTGTCTGGAATATGCATGCTATTTCATATATGATGTGCACATAGCGTGGCAGGTGAGGCCAGGGCTGTATGAGAACACAAGTTATCTTCTTTGAAAAAAATTCATTACTTTTTAAGGTTTTTTTTTTTAAACTTTAAAAAAAAATGTGTGTTGGGGTGGGTGAGAAAAACAAGCCAACTGTGGCCGTCCCTACAGTGGAGAGGTTGTGTCCATGCTGAGTTCCTTGGACGTCACCTTTGTTCTTACCCACAGGGTCTATCAGACCCAGGAGCCCATGACTTCACCAGGGTAAACCCTTCCCTTCTGAGCATTGCTAAGATGGGACCACAGGAGGAAACAGATTCAGAGAGTTCAAGCATGCTGTGTAACATGGGAAGTTTGCTAAAACGGCCTGAGACTACTTTATAAATGAGTTTACGGACGGAATTGACTTAAAATATAAGAGAGGGGCTTCCTAACTGTCTTTGTGTGAAAGTCCCCTTGGAAGGTCACATGACCTCGCTGTCAGCGAGAATAGAGCAAATGAGGACCGGAGAGATGGCTCAGCAGCTAAAACCAGAGGAGCAGAGTTCGAATCCTAGCACCCTTACCAGATAGCTCACAACGTCCTGTAACCCCAGCTGCAGGGGAATCAGACACCTCTGTCCTCTGTGGTATCTGGATTTGTATGATATACACATAATACAGATATAAACAAATAATAAAATAAAAAACGATTGGAGCAAATGTCTCCCAGCAGGGGGCAGCGTTCTACGGCAGTTTTCTTTCTTGTTTGTTTGTTTGTTTGTTTTAATGTCCAGAGGAAACTCCCTTTCACATCACGACATGTTTGTCTTGTGTGCAGATGGCTCTCCGTCCGGAGTTTACTTTGAAAGACTCTCTGGAGGTCTTCTGTATTTGGTAGGGACACCACCTGGCCTTCCAATAGTCAACAAATTATTAGGTGTCCCTGGAGACCCGAACAAATAGACACAGGTGTGCTTAGGGCATGAGCAGTGGGGGTGGGAGGTGGCCACAAAGAGCAGAGGGCAACAGCCGGGCGCCTGCCGCTGAAACTCCAGCTTCGGGAGAACGGCGCCCTCTGCTGGCTCCTGCAGGCACTGCATGCGTATAGACACAAATCCGTCTATTAATTGATTTCTTCTTCTAAGCATCGCCACCCAGCTTCTAAATTGATCCACTTCCCGATTCTTCAGTCTGTTCTGTTGTTTCACATATCTAGGGACTTATCTACATCTCAAAAATCTCAAATTTGCTGGCAAAAAAGTTACTACTAAGACACTCTAATGGGTTTGGCATCCAGGGGATCTGTAGTAGTGCCTCCCCCTCCGTCTTCCTTGGCCAACTATACCGATGACTTGTGAAAAAAGTAAGGGCTTCCCAGAGCTCTAGCATGCTAGGCGAGAGCCTTACCACTGAGCAATAAATAACCCCAGGCCCAGCCTCGCTATTTTACCTTCTAAAGGTTCTTCTGATGAAAGCCGACATTTTTGAAACCTTTCCTCTAGATCTGTTAAGTTCTACACATTATAAAAGTCCCTGTTTTCATTATTATCTGGTTAGACGTGTTTTCCGACTTCCATGGTCATACCTTTTAGATCTGTGCGTTTTACAGAAAAGGCGCGTCTTCATTTCGAAGCACCTGGCAGCCTTCTATCTCTTTGTTACTGATTTCACTGTGGTGAGGTCGTGTACTCTGAATTTTGTTCTACTCAAATCTGTGGCGACTTACGTCATGGTTCACCATGTTGACGGTTCCCATAAGCTTCCCATAATGCTCAGAAAGCAATGTATTCTCTTCTCTGTTTTAAAGATGACAATTTGGACACCGCCATTTTCTTTTTGTGTTTATATTTTACACCTCTACTGATTTTTGAAATAAATTCACCCTAACAGTTTCAGAGGGAGTGAGAGGTCTTATTTACCTTTCTGTAGCTGTCAATTTCTACTTCACAGTTTTAAGGGCCCATCAGTGGCAAACTTAGGTCTTTGACCTCAGCTTCTCCCTCAGGCCTGACATGCAGCCTTCTCGGGTCTGGCCTCCAAGGCTGGTAGGTATTTTTTCTACTGGGGCACAGTTTCGTGGGTTCTACTGTGCTGTTAGGAAATGAGCCAGCACTCTCTTCCTTTTGCTCCTGTGAAGGTAGCCCTCCCTTCCTTGGACTTAAGATTTCTAATTTGAACGTTGGCTTTCTACATCGTTCTCTTTGTATTTTTACTGTCCTTTAATTATCCCTCCTAGGAGTCCCTGGGTTTCTTTTATTTATTTGATTAATTTATTTTTATTTAGGTATTTGTTTGTACAAACGCAGTACCAGCTGAGGCCAGGAGAGGATGCCAGCTGGCCTGAAGCTGGAGTTTCAGGCGGCTTTGTGAACTGAACTCAGGTCCTCTGCAGGGTTGACAAGTGCTCTTAACCGCCGAATCATCTTTCCAGTTGCTCACTGGGCATCTCAAATCTGTGGGCCAGGCTACTGTTTTTGTTGTTGCTGTTTGATTTTTTTTTAACACTCCTAGACAATTCCGAGGCATCATCTCTCTGAGCCTGAACTTGCTGTGTAGACCAGACGGGCCTTGAACTCACGGAGATCTGCCTGGCTCTGCCTTGAGTGCGAGAGTGACAGGATTAAAAGTCGTGTGCCACCACCACCTGGCCTGCCAAAAGGTCTTTCAAAGTGGCTGTATCATTTTGAATTCTATAAGGAAAGCATATGACCAGTACCTGTCTGCCGGGTTTGGTTTTTTTAAAGTTTTAATATAGTTTAAAGCTATAGTTTTAATTTCTGTATCACTTAATGAATACAGATGCAGCCATTTGTCCATATTCTTAGGTAAACCATTTTTATAAGTCCCTCTCTAAATTTAAAAGCAAATTTAGGCTTGTTATTATTACTAATAATTATTATTTTACTTCACATAGTTCCAAATGTTTGCTGTTTTTTTTTTTTAAACTAGTACAATTTAGAATTTTCCCGATCTTACATTTTTGTTTTCTTAAGAGTGTTTTTGCAGAGATTTTGATGAGGTTCCATTCACAGTTATTTTTATGGATTAAGGAGTTAGAACTCTGGTCTAACTGTAGGTAAGAAATATCTTCTCTTCTTCTCCCTGTGAAGGATTAGAGTCTTATATGTGTGTCAGTAGCACATTTTGAGTTGTTCTGGATCATCTGTGAGGTGCAGATCGATGATGAGTTTTGCTTTCTTTCTGTTTCTCTCCTTCCTGCTCTCCTTTACCTTTCTTTTGTTATTAATTTTATTTTATCTTTCAACTGCAAGTGTGTAAGTGCACCAGGCAGATCTCCTAGAACTAGAGTTATAGATGGTCAGGAGCCACCATGTGGCTGCTGGAATTGAACCCAGGTCCTCGGCAAGAGCAGCTAGTGCTCTTAACCACTGAGCTATCTCTCCATCCCGTCTTCTTTGCTTTATTTGCCTGTTTGCTTGTTTGCTGGTTTGTATGGGGTCTTACTGGATCCCAAGCTGGCCTTGAACTTCCATGTCTGAAGTTTCAGCTTCTACCTCCCAAGCGCTCGACTCTAGATGTTTGACAGTCTTTCGAGAAGGCACGTTGCTTCTGCACAGAACCTTAGGTCATGTCTGACCTACTGACCCAAGTTCAAGAGTTGAGGTTCTCGGGGTTTAAGCAACCAAAGCTACAAATTTGCAGGAGGGCTGACATATCTGTGGGCCACACCCACCCTGTCTTTGTAGCTTACCAAAGTGAAGACGTTTATTAGACTGATCCCCTCAGACCCTGTATCTTGCCTTCTACCCTCACCCCATATCCTACCCCACAAGAAAACGAGATTCAAATTTTCAGAGCAAAAGATCAAAGGAAAATGTTCTCACTTATCTTTATGAATTACCATTTTCCTTTCAACTCATATTCTCATCTAGAATTTTCAAATTTAAGCAGGAAGAGTCGGTCTGTATATAGTAAGCTCACTATTATTTGAAACAAACAAACAAACAGAAAACCACAATACCTAGATTCTCCCATTTTCTAATATTGATTCCTCATGGTGACCTATGTAGGCCATACTGGCATCTACTGAAGCTATTTTGGGGAAATGAAATACTTACTATAACATTTTCTTATCTGAAAAAGCAATAATTCAGTGTCCCCTGATATAATGCAGTTTGAATGACCATTTCCCCCACTGAGGATTAATCTTAAAATACTCCCACCTTGTATTTGGATTTATGTGGTACCTACTGAAATAGGAGCCCAGAAGTGGCCTTAATGGAAACTGAACAACTCATCTTCCTATAAGAAATAGAGTGTTCACTGGGATAAGAGCTGGGGGTAGCAGCTGGCCGTTGGCTTTAATATCACTGGAAATCATTTCCTGACCTAGTCAAAGAAAATCACTCCTGAGATTTTGAATTTAAACAAGAGAGGGTGAAGACTTTTGCTAACGATACGAGGTGAGTAAAATGGCTGAAAATCCAGGAGAATGTGCACTGAGGGAGATCAGTGTCTTTTAATATTGACTTCACAACTGTGTCAGGACATAAATAGCAATCCCATGACTAGATCAGAGTGTGTTCTGAGGTGATGATCCACAACGGGAAGTTGGCTCGGCAGAAGCTAAGATAAGGTCTTGTAAAAGTCTTAAGAGAAGGGTCAAAGGCTCTTTCGGTGTAATTATTTTCCTTGGAGGATCAGCTCATCCTGTGCTTTACAAAACCTCCTACTCACAGCTTTGGAAAGTGCAGGGTGATACGTGAATCCATTTAGCCTTGGTCTCTATATGTAGCTCAACCTGGCCTTGAATTTATGATCCTCCCGCCTCTAACATCGAAACTCCTAGGGTGGTCCCTGTTCCTTTGCTTTGCTTCCTAGACAAACACAGGGCCATGTCTGCCTCAAGGGAAAGGAAAAGGACATTTAAAGCCCCAACTCTTTCAGAGCAGCAATCGAGAAACACAGCCACATGGCATTAAATGGTACGGGTGTCCTGGAGTCAGCGTGGGGCTGGGGATGTCTGAGCACCCCGGGGACTAAACAAGCCTCTCCACTCAGGAAGCCACAGAGCCCAGCTTCAGCCACACAAACCCAGCCTCTTCCCGGAGCAGGGGAAGTCCGGAGCTCACCTGCGCCATCCTCTCCAAGGCCTTCAGCAGTCTCCCGAAGCTTGATGTCCATCACCCTTGTGGAAATCATGTCCAGCTCACTAAAACCAGATGGGAATCCACGTTAGAGGAACACACGGAGCAGAATGATGGGGGTTAGGGTGGTGGGGACTGCTTCTGCCTGTCACCTCGCCTGCTTGTAATTCTGAAAAGTCAGGAGGGCCGAGGAGGACAGGACCGGCCATGGCCACAGCCGCATGGGTAGCAACCACAGAAGCATTTCTCTCATTACTGATGTCTGTAATTTCACAGACAATGTTAACACAATGGAGGGTCTGAGACTTTCAAAGTTCCCCTCAAACTGTAAGACATTGTTTGTTTTTCCTCTAGCAAGTTTGGAAAACGTGGAGAATAAAAAAAAAAAAAAAAAAAAAAAAAAAAAAAGAAGACCCATGCTCCCACCAACTAAGGATAATTACAATGAACGTTTTAGTCTCTTTCCAACCTACCTTTACACAACGTTACCCGTGCACACACATTAAGACGCCTGACTTCTGACTTTTGTAGCATACTACTTGACTAAAATCCTACGTATTATCTGAATGGCTACACAATATTTTAGTGTTATTGTTTACATCGAGCCTTCTGGTTGTGAACTTGGGGAAAATTCCAAGCAAATACAGCACTGCAGTGACTCCCAATAAAATTACCCCCTTCCATTGTGCCCTACACCCATGCTTGCTAGATCATTTCCAATAAACCATCCCAGTTACTGTTTCCATTTCATCCACACGGATCCACCTTCTTCCTAAATAAGAGTATCTGATCTACTCGTCCACAATCCTGCCGTAGAAATCCAAGCTACTTGTACTCTGGCCTCCCATACCCAACTGGAGGAAGCACCCTCTGTCTGGAAAGCTATCTTTCACTGGGAGCGACTAAGAACCCTCATACAGAAAGAGAGAGGTCCAAATGTTTGGTTAACCAACTTACAGTTTGGCTCTTACATAAGGTAAAGTGATGGGAGGAATGGAATTCGTTAACAAAAGAGACACGCACACCATCCTGTGCTGGAGTCGGCACTAGTATTTAGGTGGCTTTTTAGCATAAATGTTAGAGTGCATGCCCTCCCTCCCTTTTAACAGTTTTCACCATCATCACCATCGCTGAGACAGGCTCCCACTGTGTAGCATTAGCTGGGCTGGAACTTGCTATGTAGACCAGGCTGGCTTTGAACTCACAGAGATCTGCTTACCTCTGCCTCCCTGTCTGAATTAGGGTTTCTGTTGCTGTGATAAAAACATCATGACCAAAAGCAACTTGGGTAGGAAAGGGCTGATTCCAGTTTACAGTTCTACAACCAAGTCCAGCAATGAAAGTCAGGACAGGAACTCAAGCAGGGCAGGAACCTGGAGGCAGGAGCTGATGCAGAGGCCGTGGAGGATGGCACTTATTGGCTTGCTCCCCATGGCTTGCTCAGTCTGCTTTCTTATAGAACCCAGAACCACCTGCCCAAGAATGGTACCCTCCCACACCAACCACCAAGTGTCAGTGACAGGAATTGCAGAGGGTATGTATGGGTGTGAAGGGTGCCTGAGCCCCCGTGGGGAGGTGTGTAGTGGGTTTTACCCTGTGATTCTGCAGCAGCCCAAAGGCTCAGAGCTGCTTCTCCCAAACTGAGTGACGTGTCTGTAACAAAGCTACACAGGGCAGAGGGTGCAGGAGCAGGTACAGGCAATAGGGAACAAGAAGGTTCCTAGTGACACCCGTGTGGCTTCCTAAGGAAGAGTGCCAGGAGATGCCACAAGAGCCAGCAGGCTTAAGAAGACCACAGTAGCCACTGAAGTCGGACTCCGTCGAGCAGATCTGAACACGTTTCACGTCCCAACCCTCTTCTTTCTGATTATGTGTACCATGCAGCTAAGACCAGAAGAGCCAAGACTTGGATCCTGGGATGCCTTGGGGTTGCACCTTAATTCTAAAATCTTCCAGCACTGGGCTCAGGTTCCTCGTTTACAAAAGACAGCCTGTAATACCTTTAACCCAATGAGGCCTGCACCAATTACTTTTTTCATCACTGAGACAAAACACCTGACAAAAGCCACTTAAGGAAGGAAGCTTCTATCGGAGTCCATCATGGTGGGAAAGCTGTGACGGCGGGGGGGGGGGGGGGTGAGGGAGCGGCAGATCGACCGATGCCGCCGCCTGTACTTAGCCCAGTCTCTCTGTTCAGCCTGGGACCTCAGTCCATGGGACGGAGCCCCTCACAAGCAGCATGGGTCTTCCCTGTTCTGCTATCCCCTCTTTTGAAAGCATACTCATAGGCCCACTCAGAGGTGTGTTTCCGTGGTGACTCCAAACCCCATCAGGATGCCAGCGAAGAGGAGCCACCCCAGGACCAGAAGCCAGCATCTACCACGAGCTTGCACAGCGATGCTGTGGGTACCACAGCTCATACTTTGGGGTCACCGCCATCAGTCATAATTCTATGACGCGGGAGCTTCCTAACCCTCAGTCAGGCTGCTGCAGGGTCACTTATGAGGCACGCCCGTCACCACAGGCTCCACCACAGACTACACAAACGAGGAAGTGTCTCTATCACATGGTCATTCTAGGGGGAACGGCACAGCTCTAACAGTCTTGGGCCCTCGTGAAGATGGGGCCTCCGCCTCAGTAAAGCCAAGAAGAAAGCCACAACAGGACGAGTACCTTGGCTTCCCACAGGAAGACATGCTTGCCTTGGGCACTCACAGTTGAAGCCGGTTCCTACCTATAGGGCCCACAGCAGGCAACTGCATTTCCCTACCCTGCCCTTGCTTTTCTGACAGCGGTTAAGTCCCAATCAAAGGAAACCTATTCTTTAGACTACATCTGGGCTTCGAGGGCCTCCTCAGGAGTTCTTATTAACCCACAAGGATGCTGTTCTCCTCCAGCCCCTACGCGGTGTGCAGTACTTAGTGTGAATGTGGGTACCCACAGACCTCAGGGAAGTCCTGCTTACAAAAGAGACCTTAATGTGGGGATGGGGGGGCTGTCTATTCCTTCTCTCCATTCCCACTGTGACCACAGGCTCCTTCCCAGCAAACAGCCAAGCTCTACCGGTAGCTGCAAATTCTACTAAAAAAAAATCCTTTAAATTTGTCCACATGAAGCATAGGTTTTAATGCGTTATCTTAATGTTCCAATCCACTAACTTCACCTACGCAGTGGGAAACGTCTGCACACTAGGGCTAGGGTACAGACACCTAAGTGTCTTGGTGTTCATCAGAGAGACCTGCTCCCGTCCTGAAGGGCTCTTCCGCACCCTCCTGGACCTTTACAACATACCCCAAGGCTGGTAACAGGCATTTGGCAGCCCTGGGGGGGGGGCTAGGCTAAAACACAACAATAAAACAGCCTTGACTTCTATCTTTACACCTGTTTCCAACATTCTTCCCCCTGCTTTTTATCAGCCCTCGGCAGGCTTCTGTATTTCTCGGGGTCTCTGTACCCACCAACCTTCATGCTACTGTCTGAGAGGGCATTATTCTCGGAGAATTAACAGCATTTTAAGCAGGAAGCTCCATGGATAGAAGGTAACTACCAACATGAATTTTAAACTGCACAAAATAATAGCCTTCAGTTTTAAAGGTGCGTTAGGCTGCTGGCAGTGTGGTAAGGCCTATGTCACTCACAGCAAGCCGGGTGCGATCGATAATGACTGACGGTCTAAAGTCAGTAAGGAGCAACCAAAAGCAGGCAGATATTAGACTAGCTTCGCCCATTGAATGAAGGAAATGGCTACAGGAGGTTTAGTGTGCACAAGGCTTTTGCCCCGAGGGCCCTTCTGTTTGTGTGGCGAAGGGATCGAAGGACACAAAAGAACAGAAGGCTGGGCTAGCTGAGCAGACGGGAAAATGCAGGAGATCTTGCGAGGCTAGAACTTGGAGAGAACGCTGAAACTTAGGCCCCCTCTTCCATAGTTCTTGGTTCCCATGAGTTGTTCGCATACTGGGGATATGTTAAGGAACCAGGCAGATGGCAACATCTGGGAAGCTGAGACAAACGGGTGGAGATTTTCTTCTGTCCGCTGCAGAAGAGATGGGCTTCACAGATTGAGTCTAGCCAAGTTGCTAGTGGGCAACATGAGCGCTCCTCAGAGGACACAGCTGATTCCAGAGTCCCTACGGTTTCCAGTGTCTCCCATGGAATCCAAACGCGCCAGTCACATACAGAGATGGAGAAACGCGGCCAATGGTCAGTCTAAGAATATTAATTCACAGAGAGTGAACCCAAGAGACATTTGCTTACAAAACAGACAGAGATTTGAAAGAAGATGTTTAAGAACTGAGAAGGTTGCAAGGAGTAAACAGAAGACTTTTCACACTGAAAGCGGTATGAGAATATGAGAAATAAATGTAAACCTTAAAGACAAAGGTGCCATTTCCTAGGTGAAATATTTCCCTGAAAGGTCTCAACTGTAGATTGGAGACAGGCTTCGGATAAATCGACAGAAACTACCTCCTTAAAAGCAGAGAGGAGAAGGTGAACATGAACCATGAACAGACCATGAGCCAACCACAGTGCAGCGTGAGATGATCTAACAGAGGTGCAATTGAGTCCGAGGAGGACAATTGTCCTTCAGTAACAAAGACGTCCAGGGCTGCGGTCAAGAGCACTTGCTGCCCTCACAGAAGACCCTGGTTCAGCTCCCAGCACCCACATCGTAGTTCACAACTGTTTGTGACTCCCATTCCAGAGGATCTGATGCTCTTTTCTGACCTTTGCAGTGACCACGCGTGCCCACAGTGCACACACACATGCAGGCAAAACACTCATACACCTTAAAGTAAGTTAGCCTAAACTTTAAACATAATTTATACAGTGGAAAACATATGCAATATACGTATCTACCTAATCAAAACTTTGTTTACAATAGACATCGCTACAGAGAATGCAGGAAGATGTTCTTTAGGATACTGGGAGAGTAGACCAGACTGAAGCTGATAGCTGACGAGAGGAGCTGGAGGAAGGACAGGGGAGAAGGGGAAAGGGAAGAGAAGGAATTTGGGGAATGTGTGAATACGCGTATCGATGGGGACAGAAATGTCAGCATCTTCAC